ATACAATATATAACATATATAAAATATATGGAATATATGAAAGGAAATATTTTTTCAGAGAATGTAATGATGCTGTAAAATAATTAGCCACTAACAGTGACCAGACATATTCAATTTATACCCTTTCATAAACTACTGCTAGACATGCCTCTGGTCTAACCCAAAAAGCCATGCAAACATACTTATATTCCTATGCAAACATTTTGATAATGAAGCACCTTTGAGGCAGATGCTTTGAGCTAAAGGGCACATGGTCAGTTAGGTAAGACTGTGGTGTTTCTGTCAGAAGAGGCAAATATCCCAGTAAATGGGTATGTACTTTTAAAAAAAAAAGGGTATACTTTGATGATTAAGAATACTGATGGATTTTTTTTTTTATTTTTTTTTTTTTTAGTTTGCAATTTAAGATTCATATGTTTGAAAAAATCAGTGAAGATTTTTGGTTGGTTGTTTTTTTTCCTTTTTTGATATTCACAGCTGGTGAGGGAAGTATAATACTTATTTTGGGGGTCATGAAGATTTTTTAAGTTTCCATGCAATAGACTCCTCTGGTCAAGTAATCACATCATCATCTACTCAAAAAACTACTTACTCTAGAAAACTACAGTTCATGTAAAAATTGCTATCCTTATATCCTTATAATGTTTCATGTTTATATGCATAGATGTGTATGTACCTGTGTGCAAATATGTATATCTCTGTGTGCATGTGAACGAATGTGTGTACACAGAAGTATCAGAATATGCTAAAGAGCTCTGTAATCTAAAAAGAAATAGAGCTATTTGTCAGATGTAATTTAAAATCCTTTTTCCTACCTACATCACTCAATGCAGTTATTTTACAGCTCACCTATTTCTCTCTAGTCATTACTCTAAATGTTGGAGTCTGCCTGTGCAGGCCTCCTAGTAGTTCTCAATTACTGGTACCACAAGACTAGAATAGATACATTTTTCAAGGATACAAATAACTTTCTAGGAACTGGACTGAAAATGAGGTTTACTGGGTACCCTTAATACATGGTATGTGTTTCGCATAGCAAATTAAAAAAAAAAACAACACAAACCCAAACTTCTCATCATAAAAGATCCTTGGAAATTTAAGTTCTGTAAACTATTTGGCAATATCATTTAAGGAAAAGTGATCAAAGGAAAGTGGAGAACACCTATTGGAAGGAAAATACAGTAAATAAAATTACTATAAATACCTAACATGACTTAACCTGTGTACAGGTAAAAATCCATAGTAACTGCTGGGAAATGCTGAGAAACAATCAATATAATTTCTGCATATGTGCAAGCAGGTTACAGCAAAAAAGTACACTTTTCTAAATCAGAACTACTAAAACATTTAAAAAGCACGTAACAACAGACTTAGAAAGGACAATGGTGTTTAAAAAACTTCCTAGAAGTGCTTATGAAAACTCAAATAGAAATAATTTCACATTATTTTATTTTATTTTCAGCAAAATAATTTGAAATATATTATTCAGAAGTGTTGACAACCAACCTAAATGAATAATGTTAACAAATTAGAATAAAAATTTAAAAATTTAAGATAAGCAGTCAGATCATTGGAAATGAAAAAGAAAAAACATGTTTTCTTATGCATCTATTAGCTAAAACTGCAGAGAACATTATTCTGGGACCTAAGCTTTTCATTATCTCTGTGTTATTTTGCTTAAGGAACTTCTAGAAAACAACTAAAAAAATGAATACCAACTAAAGAAACATAACAAAGTTTCTCTGCAACAATTATCCCGGCAATGTGAATGTAGAACAAACCTAACCGAAAAATAACAGAATCATGAAACATCTTCTCTAGTAATTTGATGCCTGTTAGTAAGGGAGGAGTCTTTTTTTAAGTTTGAAATTTGTAAATGCATTCTTACCTTTGCATATTGGAGGTGGGTGGCTCCACTGCCTATTAGCCTGACACTGTGCTTTCGTTGGTCCTTGCATAACATACCCAGTATTACATGAGAATGTCACAACATCATTGAAGTTGAAACCATTTCCACTTGTTCTGCCATAAATAGGACTACCAGGGTGACCACAGCTAACGGCTAGCATACCACAACACAAAAAAACAAAAATCAGAGCATGTTGCTATCACTTTTCATGATTTATGATACAATAGATAATCTTTATAATCACTAGATAATACTACTTTAAGGTTTGATATTCTAAGGTACTGAGTACTTTCTATGAAAGATTCACAGTTCTATGAACTGAGTAAGAACTAAGACATATATTAGGAAATGTTCAAGCACTTATTTAAATATTTAAATAAACTGAATAGAATTTGCCATGCAGAATGAAGAAAGCTTTTCTGAAGAATCAGAAGAAAAGCAAGCACTTGATTTTCACTACATATAGTCTGAAATCAAAAGAAAGTATTTCAGTGCATTAGTTCCTCAGGTATTATTTCTTACAAATATGTCCTAGTATCGACTCACTCTGTTTTATCTCTGAGGCTTAGGAACTTAGTGAAGTTATAAATTTATGAGTATATATATGACTAGACATATGACTAGACATGTATCACAGTGACTATGGACACTTGTATTTATATAAGGAAGTAAAATGCCTTTTCTGTACCGACAAAGACCAGATGAAAAAAATACTAAGGAAAACAAAACACAACTTCATTTTCTGAAAGTAATTTTAAAATGTATAAATATTTTCTTCTATGTTCCAACAAACCAGTTGTTCATAAATAACACGTTCATGAATGATTTAAAATGAAAAAAAAAACCAAACCCAACCCAGAATCAATTTTTAGAATAAAATTTTTACCACTTCAGAAACTCTGTTATTTTTTCTAAATTAAGTTTTTTTAGGTCTGACAATGTATGTTCTTTTTCTCTGTGTACAATAAAGTCATCATGATAACTCTAAAAGAAACTCATTCAGATAAACTTATATAGTTTAGCAACAATAAAAAACTGAAAATGGTCCTTCAGAATGCAGACCAGTCACAGTATATTCTATGAATTGAAGTCAAATTGAATTCTGTATGTTTTACTAATAACACTAAGTATTTTAATTTATCTTTACGTTATGGTAACAGAAATTTTGATATAAGAATTACATTTTTTTCCCCAAGACAGTAATTGGAATCATGCACTGAACTGTTAAAATTTGCAGTAATGTCAAGCAAAGATACGCATTCAGCCTACAGAGATTTTTTTTAAATGAACATATAGTAGTAATAATTATTTTTGTGAAAACAAAAGTATGAAATTTCCATAAACTTTGATTAATACACATGCATATACACTAGCAATACACAACAATAGCAATATGTCTGCCCACTGTATAAGCAAGAAGAATGATAAATCCAAATGTGAAAAGGTCAGAATTGTTAATTTTAAACACTATCTCAGAAATTCAATTAAAACATCTAAAGTTAAATAAAGAAATGTGACAGTGTTTTTCTACATGTCATTTAAACTTTTGATCTGAAGTGGAGCTGCTCCTAACTAGCTATCAAAAAGTTAAATGCAGCTGCTGTTTATAGCATATAAACTTTTCTTTTACACATGTAAAGTCTTTCCTAAGTCATGTGTCCTTCTCTGAAGTGATGCATTGCACATTCTCCTTTATTCAAACAAGCAGCACCCATTTGATTAGAGAAGAAAATACGTTCTTTTTTCCTGCTGTTAGCACAAGCAAAATGCATTTTTCTTCACTTGTAATTCAGTTCTAATATTGACATTAAAATTTGAGTTTAGAAATTTTTGATTAACATGTCTAATTTTATTGCCCTAACATTTAACTATAACGTGTGCTAATCAGAAATGTAATATAAAGAAATAATGATCTATTACTATTTCATAAAGTGAAAACAAAATTAATAAATACAATTATTCTAGTAGTGTTACATACATCTAGTTCTATGTAAAACAAAGTAAAGAGTGAGTGGTAAGGGTAATGAATTGACATTGTGCATTATGACTCATCATTCAGCTAGTTTCTGATACAAAAACGTAGCTATAAAAACAGAATATTTGGAGGTCAACTAATACATTTTCAATATACTGATATTAATGAACCTGAACTAATGAAACATAATTGTAATTTCCTTCAGAAGCCTTCAAGAACTCTCAAATTTTCCTAAATTGAATGCAGCATTTTTTTGCACTGCTTAATGGTATTTCATGTGATACGTTGCAATACTTATCACATGGAAGGAGCCTCATCACCAAAATGCAAAATTCATGCCAAAAAAGCCAAAACCAGAAAACAAAGTAACAGTATCTCTGTGAAGAGACAAAAAAACCCATTTTAATCATCAGTGCTGACAGTGTAATTCAAGAGTATCTACTTACCTAATGACTGCAATGAAAGTAAATGCACATTAAGTATTTCCAAAAGCCACTAAGAGACTTGAAGCCATTTTCAAATTTGAGTACCTGGATACCTAATCCAATCACTTTTTTAATAAACTTCATATTCATATATAAAGCACAGGTATTTAGCAGCCAATACAAGCAATGGAAATTGTGACAACACTGAACTTTTCCTGATAGATGAATCACAGATTTGAGGTGGCCACACAGAATCATAGAATGGTTAGAGTTGGAAAGGACCTTAAAATCATCTAGTTCCAACCCCCTGCCATGGGCAGGAACACCTCACACTCAACCATGTTGCTCAAGGCTCTGTCAAACCTGGCCTTGAACACTGCCAGGGATGGAGCATTCACAACTTGTTGGGCAGACTGTTCCAGTGCCTCACCACACTCACTGTGAAGAACTTCTTCCTTATATCTAATAAACTCCCCCTGTTTAAGTTTGAAGCCATTACCCCTTGTCCAACCACTACAGTCCCTAATGAAGAGTCCCTCCCCAGCATCCTTATAGGTCCCCTTCAGATACTGGAAGGCTGCTAGGAGGTCTCCACGCAGTCTTCTCTTCTCCAGGCTGAACAGCCCCAACTTTCTCAGCCTGTCTTCATACAGGAGGTGCTCCAGCTCTCTTATCAACCTCGTGGCCCTCCTCTGGACTTGCTCCAGCAGCTCCGTGTGCTTTTTATGTTGAGGTCGCCAAAACTGTACACAGTACTCCAAATGAGGTCTCACAAGAGCAGAGTAGAGGGGCAGGATCACCTCCTTTGACCTGCTGGTCATGCTTCTTTTGATGCAGCCCAGGATACATTTGGCTTTCTGGGCAGCAAGTGCACGCTGAAGCTGGCTCATGTTAAGCTTCTCATCAACCAACACCCCCAAGTCCTTCTCCACAGGGCTGCTCTGAATCTCTTCTTTGCTTAACCTGTAGCTGTGCCTGAGGTTGCCCCAACCCAGGTGTAGGACCTTGCACTTGGCTTGGTTAAACTTCATAAGGTTGGCATCAGCCCACCTCACAAGCGTGTCCAGGTGCCTCTGGATGGCATCTCTTCCCGCCAGTGTATCAACCGAGCCACACAGCTTAGTGTCATCATTAAACTTGCTGAGGGTGCACTCAATCACACTGCCCATGTCATTGACAAAGATATTGAACAAGACAGGTCCCAACACCGATCCCTGAGGGACACCACTCGTTACTGGTCTCCAAGTAGACATTGTGCAGTTTGCCACAACTCTTTGCGTGCAGCCACCCAGCCAGTTCTTTATCCACTGAGTGGTCCATCCATCAAATTGATGTCTCTCCAATTTAGAGACAAGGAGGTCCTATGGGGTAGTGCTGAACGCTTTGCATAAGTCCAGGTAGATGACATCAACTGCTCTGCTGCTGCCCATCAGTTCCATAGCCTCATAATAGAAGGTCACCAAATTGGTCAGGCAGGATTTCCAATTAGTGAAACCATGCCGGCTGTCACCAACCACCTCGCTGTTTTTCATGTGCCTTAGCATGCTTTCCAGGAGAATCTGCTCCAAGATTTTGCCAGGCACAGAGGTGAGACTGACTGGTCTGTAGTTCCCTGGGTCTTCTACCTTCCCCTTCTTGAAAATGGGGGTTATATTTCCCTTCTTCCAGTCATCAGGAACTTCACCTGACTGACATGATTTTTCAAATATGATGGACAGTGGCGTAGCAACTTCATTTGCCAGCTCCTTCAGGACCCACGGATGGATTTCATCAGGTTCCATGGACTTGTGCACGTCAGGTTCTTAAGGTGGTCTCAAACCTGATCTCTCCTACAGTGGGCCTAAGGTCTTCATTCTCACAGTCCCTGCCTTTGCCTTCCAAGTCTTGGGTTGTGTGGTCTGAGCATTTGCTAGTGAAGACTGAGGCAAAGAAGTCATCAAGAACCTCAGCCTTCTCCAAATCCAGGGTAGCCAGTTCTCCCGATAGATTCTGGAGAGGGCCCACGTTGTCCCTAGTCTGTCTTTTACTTGCTACATACCTATAGAAGCTAACAATTTTGAAGATCTGTTTTAAATCTTCTGGGGAAGGGTGTGAGGGATGTGGGGGAAGGGAGGGGGAAGGGGAGGTGGAATATCAGTTTGTTTGTTTGGGTTTTTTTAAATGAATACTAAGTTGCAAAGTCAGTCCTCATCTTGCCTAACACAGACATTCCTGTAAGATACATTAGAATTCGTTGCCACGCTTACTTACGCACACAGGATGGAAGCTGACCAGACCAGTTGTGATCCTGTTGACATATACGTACAGAAGAACCAATCAACCGAAACCCAGGACTGCATTGATATACAACTGTGTCTCTATATCCGTAATTTTCTCCAATTACTTGACCATTGACTATAAGATCTGGAATACCACAGTGACCAGCTAGATTTTTTCAAAGTAAAGAAACACAAAGAAAAATCTATTAATAAATATGCTAGAGAAATTTTTAAATATATGTCTTTAATTAAAACAAAGAAATGCTCAACATCTTTTTTTTTTTTTTTCAATTTCACTCAAGGATTTATTCTCATTAACTTGGGGAAACCTGACAGAATGCAATTGTATAACTGTACACATACAAAAAATTACAAAAAGTCACTGTATTAAAAACATTATATGTCACATATGCTATCAAATTTATTTTAAAAAATATGAGTAAATCCTTTTTATTAAAACCTTTATAATTCTGTATTATTTAGTTTTATTTTTATTAAGATTAACCTCAATAAAGTTAGTATTATACCACTCTACATTTAAATGTAAATTAAAAAATCCATATAAACACAAAAATAATACAAATGTTATAAATATCTATCCATATGGATGTTCTTCTTACAATGGAAACAAATTAACTTGGACAATTTATTGCTGGAATCTGACTCTGGATTGTCTTCCATTTTTATCTTCCTATTGATCCCAGACAAATCCCAAAGAGATTAACATATTTGGGTTAAAAGCAGCCAGTGCATCTACATCCAAATGTCCTGCAACCAAAAACCACTGTATGTCTTGTCATAATCTTCTACCTTGATTCTCAAAATATGAGAAATATTTTATTTATACCACTAAAGTCACAAACAGACATTTAATCCAGAGAGTCTGGGAGAAAGAATGGACCATGTGGCATTCATTACTGTTTTCTTTAATGAACTCTGTAAAATGGGCATTATTATTCAGCAAATAATGTGGTAAAGCAAAATCCTCTGAGAGTGGTTCACCTCATGAAGACTGTGTCATATGGCAGAGAAGTTACTGCAAAAGCAAACAAAGCATGCAAGAAAAACAAGCAGTGTTTCATCTATACTTTAGTGAAAAAGAAATAGTACCAGCCACACAAATTTCTCTGCTCTCTTTTTCTCCACTACTTCTCCTTTCATTCCCTCCCCACTCTCCACCCCGGCCAAACGAATCTCCAAAACATGGGTCTGCCAGTAAGAAAGGAGATTTAGCAGCAATATAGTTTGGATTATTTTTTCCTTTGAACTTTTACATGTTTACAATACTCCAGTGTCATTTTCAGCATTTTTGCCTCATTCTTTCAGGGCTAGAAAATTCCTATATTAAAAAAACCAAACAAACAAACAAAAAAAAAACCGCAAAAAACCCCTGAGATTTTCTTATAACTTGCATCTGGCAGATTAAGTCTCATATAGTATTTCATCACATTAATCATGATAATGTCTGAATTTACAGTAGAGTCAGAACATGAGCCTTCACACAAATTAAACTGATGAGTACAATTTGATCCTGTTTGTTCCTTCCCTATTTTCCTCAGTGTTAAATAAAGACCAGGCATACTTGAAATTTGATGTTTTCTGGGATAAAATAGCATAATACATGTTTATAAAATTTTTGTCAAAGTACTTGATCCTCCAGGGAAGTCATAATCTGTTCGGTACATAGCAGACTTCATGGAACATGCCATAAAGGGCCCAACTTCCCTTCCCTATTACATTTGTTATGATGAATGCGACTAACTGCATGAAGAGTAAAAACTGAGCTGGAAAAGATCAGTTTCTATCTGAAGTTCAACCAGATAGTTTGCAGTAACCCAGGCCATGTTCAAGGAAATATTTTTGCATTTAAATACAATGTTTGGCCTGGTTCTTAATTAAGATTTTAGTGCTGCTTTATGGCAGTGAAGCGGAAGCAGAATACATCACCAGAAAGGTCAAACACTGTTTCCTGTGCAGAGGGAATAATCCTGAAGTAATTCAGCACATCAGGTGACTAGTATCACATTGCAATGCATGCTGATCACAGTAGTCCAGTACTTAAAGGGCAGCTACAAGGAGGATGGAAGTTCTCTCTTCACAGGGAGAGGATAAGGGCCAATGGGTACAAGCTGCACTGGGAGAGGTTTCATCTTAACACTAGAAAGATTTTTTTACAGTAAGAATAAACTTTCACTGGAACAACCTCCAGAAGAATGTGATCGAGTCCCCATCACTGGGAGTTTTCTAGATGTGACTGGACATGGTGCTAGAAACTCCCATCTCAGCTCCCCTTCCCTATAAAGTTTGGACCATATGATCTTTTGAGGTCCCTTCCAACTTGGGCTGCTCTATGATTCTATTACTTCAAAGCCCTCTGCCTTAATTGTTTCTTCCCAGTCTGTACAAAAACTACATATTTGGAGCGCTAACTATACTGCATGACTAACTGTGAACTAGTCACTAATAGTAAAGAAGTGTATATATTTTAAATAATAGAGCCTATGCCTATTCCTGTGTAAGGTTTCTAAACTGAAAAATGAAGAAATCTAAATGTATGAAGAATATTATAAAACTGCAGTTCTATAATAACAGAATTCTAAATCAGTTTATTGTGACAGTGTTAAGGAATTAAATATCATCTAAAAACAGGGTAGGCCAGACTTCTGACATATTTGTCATCTCAATTAAAAACCAAAACAGAACTAAATACAACAAAACAAATAACATTTTGGATTTCCAGGATTTGTATCCCATTTTCATTCTGCTTTTCAAGAGAGGTTTCATCTGACTAGGAGATATAAAAAAATTCACAACAAACAGCACCTCATCCACCAAAACAAAACTATGGGTTCATCCTTATGTGCTTCATTTTAAGAATGAAATAAATCTGTCATGCAGGTGTATGTGGAAAGCAATTCAGTGTGTTTTCTTCTGAAAGTGTATGTAATGCTATACATACCTCCTGTTAAGAGAACCTTTGAGAACATTACTGAAATTTCCACCAATCTATGCAGCTGAATAAATTCCCGATGTTGATATGAAGTCAGAGACTCATTAATATTTTGCAGAAGTTTTTTGTTAGTTTGCTTTATTTTCTCATTCTGTTTCATACATCTAGAAAACTGGTCACCCTCAGAGGAAATAAAGACCTTTCACTTATAATACTTGCTATCACTATTCCTCCAATACCAAAAAAAAAAAAAAAAAGAAGAGGAAGGAAAAAAAAACCCACTAACCCCAAAAAAACAAAAAAAAAACCCCTCTACTATCCATCCATATCACTTCCATTCTATTCTGGCTCTGATGTGTTTCTTCTAAAAGCAAGGTGTTTATTTTTCTCATTACTATTAGTAGAATTCTTCCCTTTTGTCATTTTTATATTAAGATACCTGTGAAGCAAAGAATTCTAAAATGTTCCTTATATTAAAGATATACTCTTATTCATTATTGCATATCCTGGTACTCTTCATGGTCAGTCCTGCTGTTAATTGTTTTTCAGGACTTCCTTTTGTGACAAATAAGGATGTTTATTTCCCGTTATTAACATGCTGAAATGAATTTCTGAAGCCTGTGATACTTTGTGTATTATGTGTTTGCACATAGCTGCATATATACACATATAATAGTGAGTTTGGGGTTTTGAAGTTTTTTTTTCATTTTGGAGAGCTTTCAGACTACTGCTGATTCTTTGGTAGTCTGAGAAAAGCAGACACAGCATATGTATAGTTTTTTGAGAAACTGCCTTTGTTTCTGAATGAGACATATTTATTGTGCAATGACATCAAAGATCAACTCTGTTCCTTCGTACCGTCTCACAGCTGTATCCCTAAAACCTTTTCCCACTCACTTGCTTGTACTAAATGTATTTATCACCTACCATATAACTGATGTCAGTTGTGTTACACTGGAACAAACGTGGAGTGATATATGATTTCACCACTGCAAAATACAGTGTAATCCCATAAAGTGACATAATTTTAAAACTGTTCTCACTTGAGAAATATGTCATACTTAAGCCAACCGAATTATTACAGAAGATGAGCATTTTAGTTTTGAAATTTCAGAAATGAAACTGAAGAAAAATTGATAAAACTAATTTTTGTAATAACTGGCCTTCATTCAATATAACCACAAGGTGTGGCTAACTGTTTTTTGTAATGAGATAGCTAAATTACTCCTCCTAAATGCAATCTAAAACTGCTCAGGAGCTAAGCTCTGCAGGTGGACTGTTTTCACCGGGGACTGAATGCAAATACTGCAAAATGGGTATCATATTGAAAGAGATCTCTGCAAAGACAAACATAATTTGACAGAAAAACTATGCCAGAAAACTGAAAACAGATGAAAAATTATAAGGAAATAGAAAGCAAAGGAATGCTGAGAAAAAACTAAGAGTAGTTTTGGGAAAATGAGGGTTATAACTGAGTAACAACATTGACTGTCTTTCAAAAATAATTTTTCTCATTTGGTGGGAAATTTATTTTCCAAATAGATGAGCAAGCATTTAAGAAATACTGATTCTATTATAATTTACAGCCAATAAATCATTGAATACTTACTTAGAATAGAGAGAAGATTTAATAGTACTGTTATTACCTAATGGAATATTACTTTTTTTATCCCCAAAGTAATATTCTGATTCTAAGACCACTTACAAGCAAATATAAAACTGTGTAGTCACCTTGGAAGGCTACTGAAAACTAAAATATGAAAAAACAATCATGTAAGATTTGTGGAAGATATGGGAGGAAGTGGCTCAAGCAGCAAGATCAATATTGTACTTCTGATCTACATTTATCAGAATAAATAACAGAAAAATAAAGATACCCTTGCCTGGTAAATTGACAATACAAACAATAATAAGCAGAACATTTACTGCACTGCATTAAGAACTGAGTTATGGATAGAAGAAAAGCTGAAACAGAATTAGCAAATGTTAAGCAAAATCTCCATTCAATGATTTGCAACAATCAGGCTATCATAATTACTATTAACTGGGCAGGAAAAAAAAATTTTCTAACACCCTAGCAGTAAATAGCTGACTTCACACTAAGTTAGAGTGTTAGAATATTTTAGAGTAAGCTATGCTAAACTTTTCAGGATAGCCTTCTTCATTGTCAAAGTCTTTATCTTAGTGCTGTACTGTTAAGACTGTGTGTAGTTCTATCTTTTCTATGTTATGGATATAAAAGACATATACAGTAGTTCTGTGAGTGCAATTGAGTTCCCTAGGTCTTAATGTAACCCATACCTTACAATACTGAATCAAAAGACTTAACTTTTGCAAAGGCAATGGGTGAATGCTGCAGGAAAGTCAAAAATTGAGGGGGGAAGCACTATAACATTCTCTATTTCCTGTCTAGGAAAGCTTGAGAATAATAACTACATGAAATATTATTAATAAACAAAATTAGTCAAAAAGAAAGAATGAAGGATATTAATAACGTGAGCACCAAATAAATTACCTAACTTGACATGAAATCCAGCTTTAGCAATGAAGAATGAGCATAATACTTTGACGTCAGAACCTTTGAAACCTCAGCTGCAAATGAGGTTTCTTGTCTCCAGGTTAAACTGTGAGATGCAAGAGTAGGAATAAATGAATACAGAAACGTTGTATTATATGGCAAAAACATGCTCATGCTTATTTTAGCTGCAAGCAATGTTAAACAAACATGAGCACAGAAGTGAAAGAATTGTACATATTAAGATGTTATTGAAAAAAAAAAGAGACTTAGGTTATTATTCAACAAAGTTAATTAACCTGTCAAGATAATCTCAGCTGAGGAGGAAAGAATTATTTGCAGGAAATTCTTTCTTCTCTACAGGGCTTGCATTTCTTGGAAAGAAAGGGACTGACTATTCATCAGGGACTGTAGTGACAGGACAAGGAGCAATGGGTTCTAACTTAAACAGGGCAGATTTTAAGCTGGATATTAGGATGAAATTCTTTACTGTGAGAGTGTTGAGGCACTGGAACAGGCTGCCCAAGGAAGTTGTGAATGCTCCATCCCTGGCAGTGTTCAAGGCCAGGTTGGACAGGGCCGTGAGCAACCAGGTCTAATGGAAGGTGTCCCTGCCTATGGCAGGGGGTTTGGAACTAGATGAACTTAAGGTCCTTTCCAACCTAAACCATACTATGATTCTATGATTACATGGCAACCAAAGTAATACAGGAAACATTTTAAAATCCAACAAATCTGGGCAGTGTGCGCTCACAGCCCAGAAAGCCAACCGTATCCTGGGTTGCATCAAAAGAAGCGTGACCAGCAGGTCAAAGGATGTGATCCTGCCCCTCCACTCTGCTCTCTTGAGATCTCACTTGGAGTATTGTGTACAGTTCTGGTGTCAAGATAAGAAGGAAATGGAGCTGTTGGAGCAAGTCCAGAGAAGAGCCATGAGGATGATAAGGGGGCTGGAGCACCTCCTTATGAAGACAGGCTGAGAAAGTTGGGGCTGTTCAGCCTGGAAAAGAGAAGGCTGCGTGGAGACCTCCTAGCAGCCTTCCAGTATCTGAAGGGGACCTACAAGGATGCTGGGGAGGGACTCTTCATTAGGGACTGCAGTGGTTGGACAAGGGGTAATGGCTTCAAACTTAAACAGGGGAAGTTTAGATTAGATATAAGGAAGAAGTTCTTTAGAGTGTGGTGAGGCACTGGAATGGGTTGCCCAGGGAAGCTGTGAATGCTCCATCCCTGGCAGTAGCCTTGGGCAACATAGCTTAGTGTGTGGTGTCCCTGCTCATGGCAAGGGGGGGTTGGAACTAGATGATTTTAAGGTCCTTCCAACCCAAACTATTCTATGATTGTATGTAATGATCTCAAGACAATTGAATTCAGAGCATACTGATGTACACCACATCAAGTTCTACAAACAGTCACCTTAAAAATTGTGCTGCTTTCTGGAAAGGAGTATTTCCTTCTGCCAAGCTACATTAGAAAAAAAGAAAAAAAATAAAAATCTCATACTGCTTCTTCTTTGAGTTAACAGAATGTCTAAAATAGTGTTAACGTAAAAATGAAAGACAACCTCAGAGTTAGAGGAACTTCTGAAAATGTTGAGAAATTTTATTCATCATTCAGATATCAGTTAAAAAAATCTCAAAGTACTATCAAGCCTTTTAAGAAGTAGATCCTATGTATTTTCACTGTGGGAAATGGTCCGTTTAATAAATGGTTGATTACAGGTATTAAAATAAATAAATTACCCTCATAAAATATTTTCTAAAGTTATGAAAATATTTGTTTTAATGATCATTGTTACTCAATTTGATTTAAAGTTTATCTTGTTCTAGTACCCTTCTGTATCTAATTAGGTTCAACACTAACTAGTTTTAGGTTCTGTTGCTGATACCTGTATTCTCATTTATTCCACCTTTCATAAATTCCTCAAATTACACATAACTGGAATGGTAATTGTCTAACACAGTGAATAAGCAAAATTATTTCAGTAGCACTTTTGAAAAAAGTAATCCGTATTTTAAAACAAAATATTTGGAAAAGGATACTATTTTATCCTGTAGGATTTCACTACTGTCAGGAGTGTAGTCTTAAGAGCACCTTCCACATGTAAAATTGAAATACACTGGTAACCACTTGAGTCCAAGCATAAGTACATTTTTCAACAAGTAAAAGGCTCTAAGATAAAATATAAAAAAGGTTAATGGCTGTGAGCAGAAAAGCTTTAAAAGCAGAAAGTGAAATTTATATTTTTCTTACTATTTTTCCAGTGATTGAGAACAAATCCCAGAATTCATTCATAAGTTGCACAAAAATGGATTTCTTGGATCACAAAAATCTGCTCCACAGATCTTCTTGGTGTATTTTATTTGCCTTCTCCCACATTCTACCATGTCCTTAATTTCCTCCACTTTCCATCAACTTTTTCAACCTTCTAAAACAAATTTCTGACTTCTGATTTGTCACTGGCTGAGCTCATCCCTCTAGCTTAATCACTTGTTGAAGAAACAAGAATTTAAGTTAGTCTGAGTCATTCCAGGAAGTTCATTCCTGCAGTGATGTAGCACAGCAGTCAGTGTTGCTGCAAGAGCAATTATGGTACGCATTACCCTCTCCTTCTTACAAATTTGCTCTGTCTCTATCTTTTCCTTTTTTTTTTCCTTGTTTTTCCAAGGCATACATACTTTTTCATATGCTATATATGATGAATACTACACTGTATTTCTATAAGCAAAAATTCTATTCATTCCCTCTTCTACTATTTGCTATCATTAAAGCTTTGAAGATATACATTTAAATACTAACTGTAGTCCTATCAGTCTGATACAAAAGGTATCTTTTAGATACCTCTATTTAGAGTTTTATTTTACAGTTTTCCTCTCTAGTCCTATAGCTGTTTTAACACATTTTCTTAACTGTTTATTGTTACTGGATAATACAGTATGTTAACTTAATTATAATTAATCTCTTCTGAGAAGGGTTGGAAGTAAAGATTATGTAACCCATTACTATTATTAAGTTTATATTATTTATTTCTAAAAATGTAGGAGGAATTAAATTCATCCTGTGTGATCTTCACTTGACGTAAAGTTATTTTGACAAAATTCTTAAATGTAAGTATTTTTTCAAGGCGCTATTCACAAATAGCAGACAATTTGGCTGGTTTTAGAGTAATGTTTCTCTTTTTGACATTTCTCCAGACTTCAACGGCTGTAACTTTTGCAGACAAGTTATTTTAAAAAAACCAGACAAAACAAAAAACAGTCAGAACATACTGTTTACACACATATTATGGTGTCCCTAAACTTTCAGATTCAGAAGTCTGTCTTACCATTTCTGACAGCTTAGAAGAAAAAGAAACTCCAACACGAAGATTGTTTTTTTTCTTTTTATCTCTCTCTGCTAAATGATTTTCACTGTAAAATTGAAACATAAACAAAACCTGTCTATCCCCTCCCTCATCTATATGTCAGGAAACATTCCAGCTTCAGACCTGTAGCTTGATAAGCAACACTTTTGCTCATTCAGGAGTCATCTAAATTAAGCTTAAGTGAAGATTTGCACCAAAAAATGCTGTATTACTGAAATAAATTTATTTGGGATGTAGAGTGGACTATAAAGGTAAACAGCAAACTGCACAAAGAGATATCGCAAACCCCCCTATATTTAATGTATAAATCAGATTCTTCTGAAAGTCTCAGTCTGTGGATGTTCTTTTACATTCTCATGTCCCCATGAATAACAAGGTATAATATGACCTTCACATAGTGTTTTAAAATTGGAACACTATGGTAGCTTTGATTTGTATTGAAACTAAAACATTAATTGCATACAGTGTTAAAATCAGTGCCCCTGCAGTTAACACAATAACCCAGATCAAGGTACACATGATAATAATGAATTTTAAAAAAGCCCTGAAATACTTTTGCTGAGATCACATGTTCATTTTATTCATAAACTCTTCAGGGCCTGGTGTCCGAGTATTTTAAATAAGTGAAGATCACTAACCATGTACAACTAAAGCATGTCAGATTTGATAACTAGTGTCTGGATAGTGATTTTCTCTCAGAAATGAAGTTGCAGTGCTTCTGTCAAAGTTTCCACGAACTTTTTTTTTCCTGTTTTTTTTTTTACAAGTGTACAGATTAAATCTGTAACATAACCAGTGAGTTCACGTCTACTATGCATTTTACTGCGAATATGGATTAAAGCTGACACATGTAGAATCAATCGGTCTTACTGCTTATGTATAGGTTTGCTTTTAGAGAAATACACAGCAATCCAGTGACACAGGTTTTGTATGTTGGGAAGATACTGAAAAAGAGATTCAATCTGTGGGAAAGTAACCATAGTTATAATTAGATACAGACACACAAATTTTTAAAATGCAGCACTCTCCTTAATGTCTGTGCTAACAGAAAAAGACAAGCTGATTCGCTTCGCTTACTTTTGTCTGCTAGAGAGAAAGAAAATAGGAAAGCCATGACAATAGTATCCATACCTAAACATCTGGTCTCAGTTCCTCTCCAGAGTCCAGAAGACAGACATTCTCTCACTGCAGAGCCAACTAGCATGTATCCTGAGTCACAAGTAAATATAGCTGTAGATCCATATGTGATTTGAGTTCCAATCTTCTTCCCATTTGGAGGTGTAGGAAGTTCTCCACAAGAAATAACTTTATGGCAAAACCAAATCAAAAGAGATACATACAGCTGAGTATCGCAAGCACACATACAATAATAATTATCAATCAGAAATACTTATCAGTATTTTTACCAATCGTCAGCTAGTACTTACCCCTAAATTACAGTGAACCAGACAAATAAAATTCAGTGTTAAGTATTTTTCTCTGTAGAAAAAAATAATTAAAATCTCTGCATACAAAAACTCTAACTTCACCAGAAATAATACTTAAAAAAGAAGAGGGGCCACCAATTAAAATTGTGCCTGTAAAGTTAAAAAAATGCACAGTTCAGGACATTGTTAATTACATTAATTACTTTAGTTTTATCAGTGACTTTTTCTTAATATTGGAATATCAAAACTGTTGCATTTTTAAAATTATCTTTATTTTTCTTTGTGAATATGTCATTCTTATCTTCTAGTTCAAAATGAAATGCTTGCCCTAGTATTCACAACATACATTGCTATATTGATGGAACAATGCACATGGAATTTCTTGGTAATTTATTTACAATCCAAAGCATCTTTTCATTAATTCTAAATCATAATCTTTCTTTAGTAAATTTCTTTTAAGAAAATTTACTATTACGATGGTGGATTATCAAAGGGTGAAAGCAGCTAGTGTACTTTATTAAAAAAAATATTTTCAATAAATTCTAAATATGTTATAACCCACAGTTACCTGGCTTATCTACACTTTTTCTCCTGCTTTTTTAGATATGTTTGCTTTAATACACATACATGAAGATATGCACAGTTTAGATACATACACCAAAACTACAGTCATATCCCACACTCTCAGAGTGTAAGGCATGTGGTGTTTCAGAAAGAGGAAGAATTTTGGGGCTTCAGAGTATATCCAAAATCCCACAATTTTTAAAAACAGATGTCCAAATTTAAATATAGGTGGAGAAGGGGAGCATAACTGTAGCCACACAATTAGCTTGTTTAAAGTATCTGAATAGTCATTACTTATTTTTTTGAAAAGTAGCTATTGCTAGTTATCAGGATACCAGCTAATGGCAGGAATTATGTGGTCTTCCACACTAGATGGTAACCATCAATCGTGCAGGCAGGATACAAAGTTTTTGCATTTCCTAGACTATACAGCATTCCTGAACTAGGAAATCATATAGGAAAATATTCTCTATTAATTGTACTTCTATAAGTTTAAGGACCTTTAAAATCCAGAAGTGTGCTTACAGGTATTTCCTTGTCACTGAACCTAATGGACTGCATCTGTAAATAATAGCCTTTAGGATACCCAGCAATTCCAGGCAGGAAACATTTTTCTAATTAATAGATTCCAATATTTAATTAGTTAATTTTTAATTCAGCCAAAAAAAAAATAAAAAATAAAAAAATCTGAAGTCTGTAGAGCAGATGCATATGCAACATGTACTCACTTTGGCAGTAAGGCCTCTCATTTCTCCAACTCCAGGTGCCATTAGCAAGACACTCAATAGATGCTGGTCCCAAACCATAATATCCTGGATCACAGCTGAAAACTACTTTTGTTTTATACTCATAATGTGAACCATTCACTATTTTCCATCTTCCATGTTCCAGTGTAAAAGAATTGATGCTTGGACATGTAACAACTTCCAAAATAATGAAAACACATAGTTATTTGTGGCTTAGTGCAGGGAAATCAGGAAAAAATCTGTGCCCTTATTAATTCAGAAATGTATTTTAAACACATGTATTTTAAGCACCAGCTACTAAGAAGGAGAAAAAATGACTGCTGTAGCTGAACCCAGGGCAACTACTTTCTCTCCATCTGTACTGGTTCTTTAGATAGAGGAAAAGGCATGAGAGAATGGAATTTTCAAGAGGAAGAAAAAGCAAGAAAAGGAAAAAGGGAAAATCTTTGAAAATCATTCCAGGGTATGTTTTCTTTCCTCTCCAAAATTCATTAGGTGAGATAAACAAAATCTCAATGTGCAACAGATACTCTGACATTTCTTTATCAGTCTTATGATCAGCTGGGTTTTCATACCCCACTTATAACTAATGGTATCCACTTCTCTTTGGGACTGAACATGCATTTTCTTTTCAGTGGTATTCCCCCAAGTTTAGATGGTGTAGGATTATAACGATGGGTTGAATATAAATAATAAGTAACTGCTTCAAAAAAGTATCCCAGAGGACCAGAGCCTTTTAAATTCTTGACAGAAAACAGGTTTTCACAACAGTTTATGAACTGTGAAACTCTCATTGAAGAGATGGCTTTTGCATAAACCTCTGTGACCATTAAGTTTGATTTAGTTATAAATTAAAAATCAGTTTGAATACTTCTATAATCTCTAGTGTATTTCTTCTGCTGTCACAGAATGTTTCAATACATATCTCACATATATACATTTCATATATGAATTTTGCAATAATTTAATACCAACAATTATTCATAGATTAAACTAACAAGGAGCTAAAAGTTTAAGTAATATGAAGATTTGTGCCTTGGATAAATAAACAAAATGCATGGCCACGTCCTTACTCACTGGAGAGTTGTTACTTACCTACACAGCGAGGTGTTTTATTGTGATTGCTCCAGGTACCATCTGGCTGGCAGACTGCAGTAGTAAGTTCCTTGGCTGATAGTCTATATCCATCATTGCAAAAATAAGTAACACGGGTGCCAACTAAGTAATCCGTGGTTAATATCCCACCATTTAATGGAGCTTTAGGAATTCCACACGATATTGCTAAGTAAAGAGAAAGACATAGTTATTTTCTATCTTCTGCACTATAAGCTTCCACTCACTCACCTCAAAGAGTTTATGCATTGTAGTTCCCTGGAAACTATGCTAAGAAAGATAAGGAGGTGATTGGTGATAGCCAGCATGGCAAATTGTGCCTGAACCAATTAGGTGACCTTCTACGACAGGGTTACAGTGCTGCTGGATAAGGGAAGAGCAACTGACATCATCTATCTGGACTTGTGCAAGGCATTTGGCACTGTCCCGAATTACATCCTTGATTCTAAACTGGTGGAACAGACCACTGATGGATGGACCACTCACTGGATGAAGAATTGGCTGAGTGGTCATCCTCTAAGACTTGCTGTCAGTGGCTTGATGTCCAAGTGGAGACCAGTGATGAGTGGTGTCTTGCAGAGGTATTCCTCTCATTCCTCTCTCTCACACTGCTGTGCAGTGTTCTGCCCAATGTGCTTCTCCCCCTCAACTCTGCTTTTGTGAAACTCCTCCTGCAGTACTGTGTCCAGCTCTGGGTTCCCCAACACAAGAAGTACATGGATCTGTTAGAGCAAGTCCAGCAAAGGGCCACAAAGATGATCAGAGGACTGGAGCACCTCTCCAATGCAGACAGGCTGAGAGAGCTGGAGTTATACAGCCTGGAGATGAGTTAGAATTACTATGTGGTGAAACTGCGCTGCTCAGTATTAGGGGGAATGGCAAAGCCCTTGTGTCTTGTAAATATACTTTATGAAAGAACATGAGAGATATTTACTAATGATATTCTCAATCTTTTGGTACAAGTGATTGTACCATAAATCAACTGCATCATCCACATATGTAGGATAATTTTCACTTCAGCAGAACAATAGAAACTTAGATGTATAGAAGCAGCTTATTCCTGAGAGGTTTTGCGGTAGTAATGTGTTTTTAGGTTGAATCTGAAGAGATTGCTGTTGTGAGTTGCAGCAGCTACGTATAATGGCCATAAAGCACTTTCTGTGCACAAGCACCTGCTGGGAGAATTGAGTAAGTTCATATCATGTATCAAAGCTAGCCTTATAATGCATAATTATAATTAACTGTTATTAATAATTATTCCATTTATACATACATAAAATAATTTTCAATATTAAACAGTTGGTAGCAACAGTCTTTATATTTGATCAGACACCATGAGATTATTAAGCACTTAACTCCATTTCTTCCTAAAGCATTATCTGAGTATTATAACTATTTCCATTACTGAACTCAGTATGTTAAGAATAATCATCTGCTATTTGAATTTGGTAAGTTGTTTTTGTTTTGATTTGTTTTTTTTTTTTTTAATTCCACATTGTTTGCTGCATCTAATTAACAATCTGATCAAGTTCTACAAACAACTGTCATGAAAGCAGTCCTTAGATAACTGATGCGGGGAAAAAGCTTAAGCAATTATGTGTAGTAAATGCATTGCTTGTGCATTTTTTGGGGAGGAGACAATTTCAGTATTTAAAAATACGCTTTTTATGTATTAAGACAAATTTCTCAAAATGTTTTAAACTAAGATTACTTCACCTTTGAAAAAGGTTAGGTTGCTTTCCCTTAGAAACAAATAGTTCAAAGACTTTTTGTCCATTAACATGGAACATTTCTACAGCATTTATCTCTGCTGTTTTTTTAAATAAATGCATCTCCAAAGTTTCATGAAAAGCATTCATTCTAATAGTTCATGGAATAGTGACATAGGTTAAGCTATCAGAACAAAAGCATTTTTTCAGGAAAGGAAGAATTAGAATACAATTGTGATGGGTATTAAATGAGAATTTCCTTTTCATTGTTAAGTAGAATATGATTTGCTTTTTGTAAGGCAGGAGAACTAAACATAGAGTTAACCTGATGAAAGGCTTTTTAAATTTCAATTTAAACCCTGAAAGATTAGAATGGCATCATAGTCAATGCTTTTTGATCCAGTGTCCTGTTCTTGGAAATGTAGCAAGTTTCAGGTACTTCTATTTTCTATACAGTTCTTGGATCATAAATGAACTTTACTGAATATTCAGTTTCAAATGAACTTTTCAAATAATTTCATATTTTAAATTTGTTTTGGAGTTTTTTTATCCCTTGCAGAGATGTAGATTATTTTTAGTATCTGCCAGTCTTAAGAAATTCTGTTGAAATATTATTTCTTAAAACAATACATTTGTTTTTGTAAGTTTTATCAGATAGAAAAATTCTGGTAGAAAGGCATGACCATGATGTAATTAACTGCTACTCTTTTTAAACTGATGGCTTACATTAGGAAAGGAAAAAAAAAGGTTTCTTATCTTGTATTATTTTATAATGAAAGAATTTACCTTGACAAGCTGGGACTGGAACATCCCATGTGTAATAACCGTATGGAGACTTCCTGCATACAGCAGTACTTTTCCCAATGAGACGAAAGCCTCGATCGCAAGCCCAGCGAACCATGCTGCTGAGCTGTCCACCTGTCTGACTGACAATGAAACCATGTGGAGGGGACTCTGGAGTACTACAGTAGAGAGCTTTAAACATAAATATTGAATAAATAAAAGATACATTTAGAATCCAGATAATTCTTGACAATTCAGCGGACATCTAATAACAAGCTGAGAAAACATCACTAAAAGTTGTTAAGTTGTTGTATTTTGTGTCCTGATCATGTGTGCATCAAGCAATTTCACAAAGTGTAAAGGTGAAAAATAAAAGGGCTTCAGGCTTTAGCAGTCTCAAAGGAAATATAGTGGTAGTTCACTTGTATAACTGTTTTCTTTAGCACTACCTTCCTTTTTAAACCAAGTAAGCTACAGAATTTCAGTTCATGATAAAATTTATTGCAATTGTATTAATTTCAGGAGTATACTTGTTTTTTAATGATGGAAACATCAAGGACAAAAGGCATGTAACTCTTTTCAAATAATCTTTTCCTTCTGGTCCTGCTTATATTTCTTTTAAATCCCTTGTTTATTAAGCCCATGAGTAGTAAGTCACTTGGATTTGGCTACCTTGCCAAAAGAATGCACCAGATGGGACCTATAACCTGGTAGCAAGGTTACGATAAAAGTTGTTTAAGAATTTAACTTCGCTTCTGATCATTTTGGTTCAAGACTGCTTAGCCAAGATGGCCATTTTCCCACTTTGAAGGAAAGAAAATTAAGTTGGAAGTTTGTTTCTAAGTGCATCCTTCATGTTTTGAAGACACAATGAAAACTGCTGGTACCTATTTTCCCAGGCAAATGCAGAAGTGCTGCTTCACTTGCTCTTTAAGCCTTTCTACACTCCATGACTTCAGGGCAATGGTTTTCTCAAGCAAAAGTTTCTTCTAATCAGGATGGAGTCATGTGGCTGTTTGTCTACTCTTTATTAAAGCACTGGCCTATCTTTCAGATCACATGCTACAAAAATATTTTCTTCCTTACACTAAATTGCTCCTGCTTTATATTCTTGAAAGAACCAGACATATACATAACCCTACTTCTTTAGTGTATAAGAAAATATAATGTGATATTTTCTGTGTGATACAGACCACTAGTCTACCTCCTAATGGTTCTCTCGCTGCCAGTAGGAAGAGAGTTTAAAGAACTTTCTCTTCTATCTAACAGGTAACACACACAATGAAAATAGGTACCATATAATATGTTATGTCTAGCCAAAAGTGAATTTTATCTAGCTATACAACAAACATTTTACCTCTGAGAAAACTGTCTCCTCCTAAAGGGAAAGATGGTGCTGATACTGAGTAACAGACTGTTGTTAGCCTAATTATTTTTCTGCAGTAGTGAAGTAGCCAAAACTTGAGTGAGGAGAAAACAAAAAAAAAAAAACCCACAGCAGAAAGAATTTTATATTTATTCTCTACTGTTTTCTCCACTTTGTAAAGTGAAATTGTTTTATGACAGTAACTTCTCCAGTATCTGCAGATACTAACCCCAGTACTTTTCATTGAGTTTATTTCATGATAAAAAAAAAATTGTGCAATTGCTGTTAACTACAACAGATCTACTTTAACTTGATTAACGAACAGTAGTATCCAGTAAAAATTGATATTATGCAATAATTATGTAAAAGTAATTATATAAAAATCAATCTTTGTCAAGTACCATCTTCACATACTATTCATAAATATGTTCATTAGAATTAATAGCACACAATGTTGGCTTTTTGGCATACTAATTGATCTTTTCTAATACTGATTGCTGCTTCTGTTGAACCTCAAGGAGTTCCATCCTTCTGAGTTTCACATTTTTCCACCTTATAGCTGTTCACTCCTGCCTTGTTACACCTCTTCCTTTGTACCGCCTAAAGTGTTAATGATCCAGTAATAAAAAACAGAGAGGCACATGAGTGCAAATAAATGATGGGAGGGAGAAGGGGAATGCTGCTTCTTTCATCTTTAGTACTGGCCTATGCCATTTTAAAGTCCTGTGAAATATTTGCTTAAATCTCTACAGAGCATGTGTTTCATATATCCTGCTTAGGTTGTGTGTGGGTTTTTTAACTCACAAGATTAGTATCATCAGGTTCATATATAAAGCAGGTTGGATTTCCTTTCAGTCTGGAAAATTCACGTTGCAAAATTTAGCTTACATTACCATTTTCACATAAATAAATTATGTTTCATATTGAAATTTTACACACATTAGAGAAAGTCTGATTTACATACCTACATATCTTATCCTGAAACCTTTTTTATTGGTGCCATGATCTGCTGACCACCGGAGAAATACTTCGTGGCCATGGCTGGTTATATTTAGAGAAGATGAATAGTCCCCACTGAGTGAAATGAGCAGTGGGCTGTGGCTATTTGGTCCTTGATACAAGGAAGAAAGAAAAAAAAAAGAAGGAAAAAGGGAGTTACAAAGTTTAAAATAACATACAGTGTCTTATATACATTCAATTAATACACATAAAAAACATCCTCTAAGCAATGGTAAAATAATGTGAATTAAAAAATGGAAGTTGATGTTATACATTAGACAGTACATATTTGTTCAGAAACAAAATTATTTCTAAACATAATTAATCCAGTACAATTTTGAAACAATAATTCAACAGCTCTTTTTAGCACAACAAATCAAAATAATTTCTCATTTAAGATTTTTATATAGATATATATACTGACAAATTATGGTCTGCATAAACAATAATGATTATATAGATGCAGTGTAAAATACATATGTAGAGAAAAAGGATCATCCAAAGTTGCGCATCCTATAGTTACCATCAAACACCTCAAGTATATCAAATTCCTTTTCTGTCTGGAAGAATTCAAAGAACATGCTTATATTATAACCCTTTTCCACAGTAATGGTCCACGCACACATCTGGAGATTTGGGTAGCTGTCAGGATATCCAGGGCTCAGTATTACTCCTGTTGAATCCAGACGCATTTCATTGGCTGGACAGAGAACTGTGAAACAGAAAGATTGGTAAAAACGTTAAAGACCAATATTTTTGTTTCATGTGATTGACAAGATTTTCCAGAGTTTAAAAGATCTGCATTACTCATTTTAGTTCTGTAAATCATAAGGACTGTCAACATTTTAGAAAATCATTTCGAAGTCAGTTAGAATGAAACTCAAAATTAATTACTATCTAGAAAACAAGCCCTGCAACCCTCAGAAGATATTCATGACATTTTTCTTCTTTCATTCTCTGGAAGATAAGATATTCTTGTAGGCAGCGCTTAAGTACAAAATTGTTGCATTGTTCAAAAAGTGAACCATAGACTTTTTTTCTCCCTCAGATTACTATTACTGCCAGCAATAATCCCATGTAAAATCTTGCACCTAACGCAAAACTTGAAGACACTGTGATTTTTGGTTGTCGGGTTGTAAATAGAGTAACTAATCCCTCCCACAACCTGTCTGCATAAAGTAGCACCTTAATTTTGATTTCCTCAATCAAGCTTCAAGAGCACTGATGTATCTGCACAAAATGTAAGCACTATTCAGACGTGATGCCTTTGTTCTAGTAAATAAAAGACACTCTTCAGGCTGACACTTTGTTGCTCAAAAGGCCTAATTAGACAAGAAGATGACTTATGCTAATCCAGCTACCTAGTTTTTAGATTCATAGAAACATCAGGAAATGCTAGGTTATTGCCTTTACATGCAATAAAAAACCTCTGCTTTTTCTTTACCACACCTAGTACAGTCCTATGTCTTTCCTATCTCTTACCAAAAGAAGTAGCAAAGAAGAGTTCTTAAAATCAAAGCTTATGAGTAGCAGTCAGCATGTTGGATGACTTTGCGTTCCTCCTTCTAACAAAAATGTACAGCAGCACAACATTTCATCATATGACAAATGCTTTCTGAGGAGCTTAAGATCAAATTATGAGAAAACAAAGGGGGTTTCTGCCCCACTTAAAAGCAAAAATCCAAATATTACCCTGATACATACACACATCTATCTCTATATATTACTTATTTATTTATTTATTATTTATTTATTTAAACTCCATATTCCTCATCAACCTTCAGATCTTTGGTAAATATAACAGATGTGTAACTGTGTCATATATGTGAAGTGCAGACTGAATCTACAAACCACCTTCTTTTTATTAAATCTTTGTATGAGATTTTTTTTTTGGTTATAAATTCACAAATCCTGTGCACTCTCAAATGCAGACAGATACCTTCCTCCTTCTAACACAGAGACAGACTCTCTTCCTGATGAATAGATGTTAAGTCATCAGAAGAAGAAATTATAAAAATCAGAAGTTCTTAATTGCTGACAGCCTTCTTCCCAAATTTAAGTCTAGAAAATAAGAAAAGGAACATGCTTTATCTTTTTCTCAAGAATATTGCTGGGAGAGGCTAAATCCCACAACATGAGTGTTTCCTGCATGGATGAAAAAAGACACATGCTCAACCCTGCTGACCTTTTCTGCCAACCATACCTTCATTGTACTCTAAAGAATTACTTTTTCTTCTTTTCCACATCATATTCTGAAGTTATTCATCTTCCACTTACAGCTATGCTGGAACATACATGGCAGCTCTGGTTATACTTAACTGTCATAGTTTCAGGCGGGATACAGGACGCTAGCAGGAAAAATGCTACTTTGTAAATAATTTATCACAGATATTTAAAGTAGCTGTTGAAATTGAGGAAAATGGTGTTTAAAACCATGATGAAGAGTCTTGATTTTGAATTTATCTGGATTCACTAAGTCTACAAAGAATAATAGTCCCATTAAATAAAAACATCTGATAATGCCATTTCATCTAGAACATGGTTAAACTTTCTATTAGTAGCTGTAAAACCTCTCATGCTCTGCCAGTAACAAGAAGAACAAGAAACTGGGAGGGAGCAGAGACAGGACACCTGACCCAAACTAGCCAGAGAGATAATCCATACCACAGCACATCATGCCCAGTATATAAAGTGGGGGGAGCTGGCTGGCAGGGACTGATTGCCATTTGGGTTGGGCTGGGTATCGGTCAGGAGGTGGTGAGCATTTGTAATGTGCATCATTTGTCTTTCTTGGGGTTTATTT